ATATCTTTCTCTAGATTTGGGAAATTTTCGTTATTATTTTGTTGAATATATTACGCATTCCCTTCGCTTGCACCTCTTCTCCTTCTTCGATGCCCATGATTCTCAAGTTTGGTCTTTTGATGGAGTCAGTGAGTTCTTGCATTTTCTTTTCACAGGTCTTGAGTTGTTTAATTAATAGTTCTTCAGTTTTTCCTTTAATTACCATTTCATCTTCAAGTTCTGAGATTCTGTCTTCTGTTTGTTCTATTCTGCTGGATTGGCCTTCCTTTGTTTTGCAGTTCTGTTTCGTTCTTTTTTCTGAGGTTTTCCATATCCTGGTGGTTTCCTCTTTAATGTTGTCTATTTTTGTCCTGAGTTCATTTATCTGTTTATTCATGTGTTCTTTTGTTTCACTTTGGTGTTTATACAGTGCTTCTATGGTTTCCTTTATTTCTTCTTTTGCTTTTTCAAATTCTCTATTTTTGTTGTCTTGGAATTTCTTGAGTGTCTCCTGTACATTTTGGTTGACCATATCCAGTATCATCTCTATAAAATTCTCATTGAGTACCTGTAGTATGTCTTCTTTTAAATTATTCTTGTGGGCTTCATTGGGTTCTTTGGCATAGTTTATCTTCATTTTGTTGGAGTCTGGATCTGAGTTTCTGTTCTCTTCATTTCCCTCTGGTTCCTGTACTAATTTTTTGCTGTGGGGAAACTGGTTTCCCTTTTTTTTTCTGTCTTCCTGTCATTGTCCTTGGTGTTTTTTACTGTCCCTGTACTGTGTGCAATTAAGTATTTTCTAGCTTGTAATAATAACAATGGTAATATTTAGAATGGAAGGGTGAGAGGAGATGGAAAGCAAGAAGTTAAAGAAAAGGGAAAAACAGACAGGTAGGAAAAAACAAAACAAAGTTTCAAAGGTATAAACAGGGAGCTTTAGTGTACTAATCGACAGTAAGGTGAACAGGCCTTAGAGAGACAGAGAGAGGATTGAAAATAAAAAATAAAAATAAAGATAAGAATAAAAATAAAAAGTAAATGAACATAATATATATATATATAATAAAATAAAACAAAATGATAAATAGAAAATAAAAAATAAAAACAATTAAAAAAAACCTCCAAGTTCAAATGCAATGAAGTTTCAGTCTTAATAATTTTGGTGTCTTCTCAGTCTCCAATCCTGGAGATGGTGCCTCAGATGTTGTTCTGTAGTTGTCTCATCAAAGGGGATGCATAAAGTAGAACAAAATTTCACAAAAAAACAAAAACCAAAAAACAGAAAAAACCCACAAAGTGTCCCAAGTTCAAATGCAATACAGTTTCAGTAAGTTTTTCAGCATGCAGGTGTAGTTTGGTTGTTTTCTCATCAAAGGTAGGGAGAGAGAAAAAAAAAAAAAAGATTCTGGAGACAGGTCTGTGAATGGCTATCTGCAGCTGTGGCTTGCCTGCCTGCTTCTGTGAGCCTGCCGTTGCTGGAGGCACTGTTTATGCAGGTCTCTGGGGTGAACTTAGCACTCACCTGGCCCCCGCAGGCTTTGTTTACTCAGATTTCTCCTGTGGGTGAGCCTTTGCTACAAGCTTTCCCCTTTCCAAGCACACTGGGGAAGGTGACACTGCACCTGCTTTCTCAGTCCTGCGTGTTTGTTTACAGTTTGCATGGGAAGTGGGTCTTACCCCCTCTCCTGTGGAGTTTTCCTCCCACCGCCACTTTTACAAGCTTTCCCGCTCCTGGTTGCTGGGCGCGCCCCGCTCCCGCTGGAGCCTCTCTGGCCTGCCCGGCTTGTTTATTTACAGTCCCGGGAAGGATTCCCTTTCCCCAATCTTTGGCACTCAGTGCGCCCCACCCTCTTTCCAGCGTGTCTTTATCGTTCTTATTGCTTATTACTCAGTTTCTCTTTTTTTCCCCGGGTGGAGGTCAGTCTGTCCGGGGGCTATGCTGCTCTAGCCCAGGTTTGACTGTGGGAGTACCGTGGTACCGCTTAGCTCACCTTGTCTGCGTCTTCCCAAGTCGTCTGGGTGTGGGCGGCTGGTGGCTGGCGGCCCTTACCCTCTGTTGTGGCCTGCAGTCCCTGGCCTTGCCTTCCTCCTCAACTTCACTGCGTTCGTTGTCTTCCTGGCTCACTGTCATACCTTGCAGCTCAGATATGATTCCTCAAGAAAACCATCTCTGATTATCCTATCTAATGGACTTTCTTTCCTCTCAAATCACACTTGCTTTGCCATATTTATTTCCATGTCAGCTGTTAAATATAATCTGATACTACCTTGTCTTCATTTAGGCAGTGTTGTATAGTGGCTAAAAGCTTGGGCTTTAAGCCAAATGGCCTGATTATGAATTCTGGTTATGTGACTCTGGGCTTGTTAACTCTGTGCTTCAGTTCCTCCACCTAAAAATAGAGATGATAATAGTATTTTCTGTATGGAGTGCTATATAAAGAATGAATGGTTAATAAATATAAACATGCAGTTCTGTGCAGTGTAAAATAAATGCTGGCTGTGTCTGTATTAGTATTTAATTGCTCATTTTATTCTCCCCTGAATAAGTTTTGTGATAGGAAGAACCTTGTCTGTCTTATTTCTTCCCACTGTAATCTTAGGACTTAGAAGTTTCTGAAGTATAGTAAGCACTTGTATTTGTTGCTGAATGAATAATAATTAAAATTCAGTTTCCATTCCTTTGAAACATCCTTGGATATATGTAACAAATATGCTTTCTCATATATTCATCATATGCAGTTGTCAGATTTCAAGGATATTTTCATTAAACATTAGAGTATGAATGCCCATTCTTAACACGTACCTCAGAACAGCTGGCCAATTAGTAAAATCTGAAATAGAAATGATGTCTATCTTGAAACAGCAGAAACTAATAGTGAAACTCATTATTTTGTAAGATTAATGTATGTTAGTTAAAAAAAATTTGAGAAACTCGAATTTTCCTAAAAACTTGAGATTTTAGTAGGTAATCAGTTTTGAGCTATCACTAAATAGTTTTCTAGTATACCAGTAATTACACCTTAAGACCATAATTAAAGAAAGGTGTTATGCTACACAACAGCAAAAAATACAAATACTAACTAGCAATATCCATAATAAAAAATATCTGGAATGTGTCCTTTCATAAAAAATTGGGAAGCTTTGCTAGGGTCCTATGTCTCAAACCTATAATCTTCACTAGTCAGGAGGCAGAGATCAGGAGGATTGCTGTTTGAAACCCACCCAGGCAAATAGTTCATGAGACCCTGTCTCGAAAATACCTAACACAAAAAAGGGCTGGTGAAGTGGCTCAAGGTATTGGCCCTGAGTTCAAGCCCCAGTACTACAATAAAAAGAACAAAAAGAATTGGGAAGCTTTACTGTGATATACATAGAAGATTTGAAATAATGACATACCATGTTTCCAGGTAGTCAAAACTAAAATTCTTCCAAATTACTATATAATGGCAAATTTTAGTGCAAGTCAAACTCATTTGTATTTTTTGGAATTTTGTCAAAATTACCTGAAAGTTCATGTGAAAAATTTTAGAAGATGAACACACATCATTTGATGGTTACTCCTTAATGAAGACTTATAACAGCAACTAAAGGAGAATAAAACTCCTAGTAGCCCAATATTACAATATATGTGACAGACTGAATTTAACCAAGTGTGGTAGAAATCTCTCGCTGGTAGATAAGAACATGCCATTTAATTTTATGGCAAGGATTTTCAGATAAAACAGATTATAATTCATTCAGGGTCTCTGACCATATCAAAGATGGCATCAAAATTATATTGATGATTTCAAGCAAATTTTAAACAATTAGAAAAGAATAAATTTTCTATTTAATCTGTGTACAGTGTAGAGTGACTGCTTCATTGCAGTTTGCCCAGGACTTTTTCTAGTCTCAGCACAGAAAGTCCTGTGTCTCAGGAAACCTGAGACCAGGAAGGCTGATCATCCTTGCACACTCTGTGGAAAAGATGCTTCCATCTGCAAAGAGGAAAACAAATGGAGGTCCAATGTCTTATGTGGTTTGGAGTAGCTCATCTTGTGCCCCTCATAGGTCCTAAGTCACTCTAGGCACACAGAGATTCCTCAGCAGTCTTTTATCTGTTCAGGAGACTTAAGATTTGGGTTTGATCAAGAATCTATAGTAGGAATCAGTAAGAATCAGTTTTCATCTGAAAACTGAATAGGAGGATTGAGGCCACATGACATAGTCTTGAATCTCACAACTGATCGCTGTGCTCATGGTATTTGTTGTGTATTGACTTTTAGTGTAATTCTCTCTGTTGGCTTCGTTTCTCAGTAAAAGATATTTTTCTAGGGATTTGTTTACTTTCATTTTTTAACTATTATTTTTCAAATATCAGTCAGTGGAAATATTTTTTCCAAATATCTGTTTATCTCTTGATCTGCAAGGGATTTAAGTAATGTGTTTAATATGTTACAGATGAATTATTAATAGAAGATCTGATTTTTGTGGGTGTGTTTTATGTTGTTTTAGCTGTAGGTTGATAGGCATATTTTATACCACCATGGAATTGTCCTTTTTGAAATAGAAAGGGGAGTTTTCTTTTTTTGATTGTACTCAAAAAATTATAAATGCTGTGAAAATTTCTTACGATCAAGGAAAATATTTTAGAAGTTGACTAGAAATGCAAACCACCTTTACATCTGTTAATCTTACTTAATATGAAGATACCCCAAGCAATGTATGAGAATAAAATTCAAGCCCTTCTCAGGACAACTGGCTTACCAAACTTGATTTAAATGTCATAGACTTAAATTTGCTCACAATCCCATTAAGTAAAAGCACAGGCTGGTGAGAAGAAAGTGCAAAATTATGAAAGTTTTATTTTTAATGTGTAACACAACTGTTAGCTAATCTTCTGAAATTTGCATACAAGATATAAAATGTGTTTGTAATAGATTTTCTTGCAGTCAGCCTATTGAGATGTCTGTTTCTTTTCATGCTAAGTAATATGTAATCGCTTGTCACAATTAAGTTATTTTGTCTTCATTATTTTTTAGTGTCTAAAAAGCACGGCAAGCTCATTACTTTCTTACGAACATTCATGAAGTCTCGTCCAACAAAACAGAAGCTAAAGCAGCGGGGAATCTTGAAAGAGAGGGTGTTTGGTTGTGACCTGGGGGAGCACCTTCTGAATTCTGGCTTTGAAGGTAAAATGAACCTAAGAAGCTCTTGATACTAGTTCTTGACCTTTCTGGTTGGTTCTCTATAACCAGTTATTGGTTCTCTATATATTGGTTCTCTATAACCAGTTATAGGTGGTGTCTGCTTCATTGCACTTCGGCTTGCACTCAGCTATGGTAGGGACTCTTCTCAGTTCTGTGTACAGCTGAGAAGTCTTAAGAGTGCATTTTGACATGGAGGTGCTTCTGAGCCCCTTAGGAAGAATACCACATGCACACAAAGAGCACAACATCATCCTTACTTTGCATTAGTTCTTAGATCTGTCCAGATAGATAGCTTCTTCAGCCAGTATTCCTGCTTATATCCTAAAATATTTATTTTATTTTTCTTTGTGAGAACATAGCCTTTTTTGTTTTGTTTTGTTTCATTTTGTTTTTGGCTATACTGGGGTTTGAATTCAGGGCTTCACACTTTCCAGGCAGGCATTTTGCCACTTGAGGCACTTGAGCCACTATAGCACTTTTTGCTGTGGTTATTTTTACTTATTTATTTATTTATTTTACATTTGAACACAGGATGAATGATTTTATTCATAATTTTGTTGAAGTGCAGCAAACAATGTACACTGATCCTTTTTATTTGCTACATGTTAGAATCATGATGACTTTTCAGTCAGTTTAGGGCATATGCAGAATAGCAAAACTTGAAAAAAGTCGATCTCTCTTGTTTCAGATCTTATATTGTACACAACTGTTATTTTGGCCAGCCATTCAGTCCCACATTCCTCACAGTTTTGTTGATGACTTTGCTGTCTAAGGTTGGTCTCTGAAGCCTAGTGCTGAAATGCTGTCTAGTATAAAAGAGTTGTGTTGTGCTTTATAGACAGAATGTGTAGTTTTGGTGAACTTCACTCCGGTACGGTATTATGCGTTCTAGGACTCTGTGCTAGAGTTCAGTGCTTGTGAAGCAGTACTTTCATATACCCCGATGCTGTGCTTTTATTTTTGAGGTAAGGTCTCCTGTTTGCCGGTGCTGGCCTGAATGATGATGTTCCTAGTAATGCTTTCTGCAGTAGTTAGAATGACACATGTGTGCCACCAGAGCAGCCTTTTCTGTTGAGAAGGGGATCTTAATGAACTTTTTGCCAGGGCTAGTCTGGAACTGTGATCCTCCCAATCTCAGGCTCCCATGGTATCTGGGATGACAGGTACGCTCCACTGCACCCAGGTATTGGGTGAGCTGAGGTGTTACGAACTTTTTGTTCAAGGTTGGCCTTGAACTGCAGTCCTCCCAATCTCCATCTCCTGAGAAGCAAAGATTACAGGCTTGAGCTGCTGATGCCCATCAAAAGGTTTAGTTTTGAGACTATAAAACACCAAAACTAACTTCCCAACTTCTATATTTAAAATTTATATTCCTTTCTCTATAATTTAAATTCTGAACCAACAGAATTTAGTGGCTGGATAGAGAGAAGGAAAAAGGAATTTTCTTTTGATGTTTTAAAATATTACTTTACTCTACCTTAGAGATACTAGAATGTTAAGGAGGTATTCTCCTGTGCTATTGAAAAGTACCAGAAATAGATGATTTGTGAGATTCTGAATCCTGATAGGAAAGACTCATTGTGGCTTTAGAGACAACCACTAGTAGAATCCAGTGGTAAATACTTTTAATAATATCAAGTTCAATTGAAGGTCTTACTTGTTGCTTAAAGAATACAAGTGGACTCATGAATTTAATGAAGACTATACCATATTTTTGAGAGTAGAGAAAATATTATTTTAAACAGATGTTATTCCTAAGTTAATATCAGCTTAATAGAGTTTCCTAAAAATCAAAATGGCAACAAAAGCCCTGAGGAATATTTCATCATAGGAAAACTAGCTAGTGACTAGAAAGCATTGTGAGGAAAAAAATCAGAAAAAATGGGAGACATACATACCAGATACTAAAACAATATTCAAAAATATAAGGCAGAGTTTTGTGCAGAGAGTGAAATGTGAATAAAACAAAATGTTCAGAAATAGTTATTCCTATTATGATATGATAAAGTATAGGTTTAGAGCAATGTTACAAAGAAAGTTTGTTTATAATCTATATTGAGAAAATGAAATAGCATATGTTGGTCATCCCCTTATCACTGAGACAAAATACCTGACAAACACAACTTAAATGAGGAAAGATTTATTTTGGCTTACAGTTTCAAGAGGTTTCAGTCCATGGTTTGTTGGCTTCATTGCTTTCAGACTGTAATGAGGCAGAGCATCATGGAAGGGAGCTTGTGGTGGAGCAAAGCTGCTTACTTTTTTGTTGGCTGAGGCACAGAGATAGATAGAGCAGAGACTGAGACCCAGGGACAAGATAGGCCTTTCAGTGGCACTTTCCCAGTAACCTACTTCTTACAACCAGGCTCCACCTCCTTAACAGCCCCTTCATCTGTGAACTTACCAGTGAATTAACTCATTGATGAAATTAGCTCCCTCATGAGCCAGTCATCTCTTAATAGCACCACCAGCTGGGGACCAAGCCTTCAACACATGTGCCTTTTGGGGTAACACTTCATCATACCCAAACTATAACATAGCAGTTTCAAAGAAAATTAATTCCTACTCTATGACACTGGGGTAAAAAAACCTCTCCAAATGTATAAGAGTTAATTGTGTCCAAGTTAAGGAATTGTCAATATGAATTAATCTTGTTTTGAGATAAAAGGACCAGTTTCTCAGATTTAACAAACAAACAAAAATATGAGGAAAGAGATGATTTTGTATACATACTTTTCATATAATGAAAAATAGCAAATGTAGAAGATAGGTATCATAAAACAGGAAATATTATAAAATGCTGTTATCATAATGTATGAGAATATCATTGAGACTTTTAAATCCCTGAGTAAAAAGTAGAGAAAAGATAGTAACATATAATTGTCACAGGTATAGATAGTAAACAAAATATAGAAGCATGTTCATCTTCATTTGCAATCATGGGAATGTTCTTTAAACAATTTTTAAGATACCACTTTATGTTGGTAAACATTATTAAAATTAACAGCTGTTTTTTAAATGTGACATGAAGCACAGCAGTTTTTTTTTTTTAATCAATAAGTAAAAATTATTGGTTTCCAGAAGCTCTGTGAAATAGTACAACCCTCTTGGAAAATGTTGGTACTTCATAGCAAGAGACTTTATGAACTTTACAGTGTTTCTTTCTTCTAGCAATTCTACTCCTTAGAGATATATTTTAATATATAAATGGGATTTATAATTAAATAGGATTTAATTATAACATTTAGTCTTATGTGAGAGCAAAAACCATTGAACACTTGTCTTTTGAAGGAATTTTTCTATAAATTATGAAGCTATTAAAATTAAATTTTAATGCAGTGTAAAAACCTATAAAACATTAGTATGAATAGTCAAATGATATGTAAAATGAGTATATTTATGGTAAAGTATTATAGAAACTGGCTTTGTGGATTTTCCTTAGTTGTCTTGCTTTTTCAGTTAAAAAGAAAAAAACTAGAATGTTAGAAATGAATTATTCATTATACGGGGGGGGATTTATACAGACAATTCCAATTAGCCTTATATTGTACATTATTTACATTGTCTCCATTGTCTCTCCCTCTCAGCCCCCTCCCCACTCCACTTAAAGCAATTGCAAGAGGTTTATTTTTAGTTCTGTTTCATATAGGTACATTAAGTCCATCAACCATATACCATCACTTAATCTCCTTTCTTCATTCTCTCCCCTCCCACTAATTAACTCCCCCTGCCCACAATACTGTGCCTATTTTGCAGTCCTGGTTTTCATAATTAATATACCTTTTGGGGGGGGGGGGGGTGAGGGTGGGGGGGGGGCGGGGGGGGGGGGGGGGGGGAGGGGGGGGGGGGGGGGGGGGGGGGGGGGGGGGGGGGGGGGGGGGGGGGGGGGGGGGGGGGGGGGGGGGGGGGGGGGGGGGGGGGGAGGGGGGGGGGGGGGGGGGGGGGGGGGGGGGGGGGGGGGGGGGGGGGGGGGGGGGGGGGGGGGGGGGGGGGGGGGGGGGGGGGGGGGGGGGGGGGGGGGGGGGGGGGGGGGGGGGGGGGGGGGGGGGGGGGGGGGGGGGGGGGGGGGGGGGGGGGGGGGGGGGGGGGGGGGGGGGGGGGGGGGGGGGGGGGGGGGGGGGGGGGGGTGGGGGGGGGGGGGGGGGGGGGGGGGGGGGGGGGGGGGGGGGGGGGGGGGGGGGGGGGGGGGGGGGGGGGGGGGGGGAGGGGGGGGGGGGGGGGGGGGGGGGGGGGGGGGGGGGGGGGGGGGGGGGGGGGGGGGGGGGGGGGGGGGGGGGGGGGGGGGGGGGGGGGGGGGGGGGGGGGGGGGGGGGGTGGGGGGGGGGGGGGGGGGGGGGGGGGGGGGGGGGGGGGGGGGGGGGGGGGGGGGGGTGGGGGGGGGGGGGGGGGGGGGGGGGGGGGGGGGGGGGGGGGGGGGGGGGGGGGGGGGGGGGGGGGGGGGGGGGGGGGGGGGGGGGGGGGGGGGCGGGGGGGGGGGGGGGGGGGGGGGGGGGGGGGGGGGGGGGGGGGGGGGGGGGGGGGGGGGGGGGGGAGGGGGGGGGGGGGGGGGGGGGGGGGGGGGGTGGGGGGGGGGGGGGGGGGGGGGGGGGAGGGGGGGGGGGGGGGGGGGGGGGGGGGGGGGGGGGGGGGGTGGGGGGGGGGGGGGGGGGGGGGGGGGGGGGGGGGGGGGGGGGGGGGGGGGGGGGGGGGGGGGGGGGGGGGGGGGGGGGGGGGGGGGGGGGGGGGGGGGGGGGGGGGGGGGGGGGGGGGGGGGGGGGGGGGGGGGGGGGGGGGGGGGGGGGGGGGGGGGGGGGGGGGGGGGGGGGGGGGGGGGGGGGGGGGGGGGGGGGGGGGGGGGGGGGGGGGGGGGGGGGGGGGGGGGGGGGGGGGGGGGGGGGAGGGGGGGCGGGAGTTGTTG